TGTTATTCATTAGGTTTTCCCAACTGAGAAAACTGTTCTCTTTATCTTCAAATGTAAAATTCTCTACCTATTTATATTCAAGAACATATTTTATTCAGCATGCAATTTTTAAGTCTTTACAGTCAGCTTACACACTTGTGAATGGGTTATAAATATTTAAATTATTGTAATGGCAGACAAAAGGGCATTGCATTATGCATGTTAACGTAAATGATAATGATGCATGAAGCAAGCTATATGCCAGTAAATATAGAGCAATATGCCTCTGATTGTATAATGGTTGGCTTCTTGAACAAGATGGTTATTTTTATTTTATCTTATTTATTCATATTCAACTTTTGTGTTTACAATGTTGTTATAATATGGAAAAGAGATTGGTCAGCATTACAATTTCTAAAACATTTATCACTTATTAAAAAAAATATTTAATCAGCAAATCTAAGGAAAGCATTTTGGTAGTAATGATCAAGAGCATGTATACACAGGCAATATCACACCGATGTCTTTACTCTGTTGTCCCTAAAAAGTTGGAGCAAAGCTGCAGATAACACCTCTGCTCAATGTACCTGCTCTCATCTCAGTGTTGACTTTTGAAATGGTAAGGCTCTGTAAACAACGGCCATTTCCTTAATGGCAAGATTTACCAAAAGGGAAATGGATAATACCAGGCATAAATTTCTATGGGATTGTGGAAACATATATGCATGCATTCTCTTGCACATTGAGCACACGTCCTCAGTCTAGCAAATTGTACATTTATGTTCAATTTGTATAGTGTGTTCTCAAATTGTAATATGTGTTGAAAATCCAAGTAAGGTGATTTTTCTTCTTTATTTTGTTATAAGGTACATGTGTAAACATTTTACCTGAAATAAAAAAAAAATAATAATACAAAAGAAAAACAAATGTAACAATTATAATTGCCCACTAAGGAATGAAATGTGTACCTGGCAAGCAAATCATCAAATAGAACCAAACGCAGTGCTGTTGAAAGCCAAAAAGGCCTAATACTGTATATACAGGTACTTGTCACCTGTGCCTACAGATGTACGTATTATTTTACTGTCACCTTGATTTTATTCCTACTTGAGAAGCACATATAAAATCCTTAAACATGTTTAGATACACTCAAAAACATAAATAAAATTACAATTATGTTTAGGTATGAAACTACTTGCTGTTGTATGTTCAGATGTGGAGAGTACAATCTATAACCTGATTGATGTGTTGGCATGCAAGCTTTACTGAATCAAGCCCATTAACAGAGATGTATGGCCTGTATGGTATTACTTATTACAGTGGCTTATAGTACATCTTGTATTACTAAGCTTTAACACAAACATGGACTGCAGCATCTGTAGATTAAATTCTGTAGAGTACACTAGTTTTTGTTGCTCATTCCAGCAGGGCACCCTAGTATCCAAATGTGTGCATTCCATCTGATATATTTATATACATAGCTTAAACAAAAAGATAAGCAGGGACCTTGGCTTTCTAACAGCAGAAGCACTTCATTAAAACAAAGAAAAAATGTGGCTTCACAGATCACCATTTTTTTCACAGTCTGTGGCTTGTTCAGATTTTTTAAGAGAAACAGTTTGGTAGCATGCCTGTGGGTACACTGCCCATATCCGTGCAACTAAACTTGTTTATTATTTGCAGTTTCTGGAAGCGTGATTACAAAAAATACTACAAAACAATTCATGCAACTGTTTCCACTGTTATGAGCTGTAAAGACCATGTCACACTAACAATGCTGTTAGTGGCAGGATCTCTAGACCACAAGAATGACACAAACCTACTTTGTATGTGTCACCTTTTTACCTAAGTCACCAGCTAAAGTCCTCCATCTTGCTCCTCCAGTCAGCGAGAGAGTGACACATTCAAGCAGCTGTCCAACCATGACTACATACTGTAAGTCATAAAGTTTTAATTTAGTATGAGTTTTCTGAAATCCCCAGCAAGGCTCCAGCAGGTACTTCACAGGGTCACTCGGATGTACCTCCTGAAATCTATGATGTGTAATGTTTTCTCACTCTCTACTTCCTACATCACCCATTCACACTTCCAAGGCAAGTCTGTGAGAAACTGACATTTTTATAACAATAGAATTTATGTATGTAAGAGGTAGTATGGACCCTTAAGTGGAGTGTTGGGAAAAGCTCTTCACATTTTTATCATTGAGTCCCATTTTTTATCCCAGTTTGACATTCACTTTTAAATTTGTTTCTGCAAGTGCATGCAACATTCTGATATTGTAGGTTAATTATGTATGTATTTATAGTACTATCAATTTATGCAGAGCATTACATATATATTGTACATTAACATCAGTCCCTGTCCTCAAGAACCTTACAATCTAAGGTCCCTAACTCACATTTATACATACACATATTAGGGACAATTTAGACAGGAGCCAATTAACCTACCAGCATGTCTTTAGAGTGTGGAAGGAAACCAGTGGAAACCTATGTAGGCACAGGAAGAACGTGCAAACTCCAGGCAGGCCGTGCTGTGGCTCGAATTCGAACCAATGACCCTAGTGCTGCTAGGCAAAAGTGCTAACCACTTAGCCACTGGACTGCATACATTCTTTATTTATTTCAAGTGGATACCTACTTAAAAGTAACTGTAGCAAAAAGTATATTTTGTACTGTATAACTTTATTCATCATTTTTTCAGCTGGAGTTTTCTGTGCAATCTTTTCCTCCCCAAAAAATCTACAATCTATAGCCCAGCTAACTTTAGTGTAATTCAGAAAAATACCATAGACAAGTAAGAATGAGATGAAGGTGCATGAATGGGCTGCAGGAGAGCAGTGTACAATTTAAGAGGTATTATTCTAGGTGAAGTTACTCCATCATACTTAGTCGTGTTTTTTTACTTTTGTCTGTGGTCTATTCTGTTCCTCTACAGCAGGGGTGTCAAACTCCATTTCATTGCGGGCTGTATCAGCATTATGGTTGTATCTCTAAGACTAGATGTCCAGAGCACCCCACCCCCCATTATATCAGATGTCAAGAATCCCACACCCTCCCTAACATCACCATGTACCATGGGGACAGAGCTGGAAAGCAGAAAGTGCAGGGTCTAGAGGAGGACCAGAGGAGGAGTGGAGTCAGTTACCAGAGTCTACTGAATGCTAATACCAGGGGAGGCAGAGATGAGGGGGTGCTGCAGCTGCACTGAGAAGTGCAGGATTTGGCAGAGGAGTTCTAATCTCCTCTCTGCTGCTTCTGAGACAAGGTGGGGCCAGAGGCAAGGGGGTGCCTGCAGGAGAGGTGCAAGGGCCACATAAAATGGCCTTGTGTTTGACACCTGTGCTCTACAGGGAAGACTGTGTACAGCTTTATGGTATCTTGTTTAATTGAACAGTTTTGTAAAAACACATAACATAACAGTTACTTGAGAAATTAAAATAATTGTATCTTCTACTACGAGAACATTTGCATAAACACATGCAAGAAACTACTTGATTTCATATATTTTACATTTATTTACACTCCAATCTGCCTATTTTAAGCAGTGAACAGAAAATTGCTTTTGACTTAATAGCATGCTGATTTGCCTATGATAAATGATTGCTGACTTGGAAAAATGAGACAGAAATGACCAGAAATTCTCTTTAATCAACAGAAGTTAAGAATATTCTCGGGTGAATTATTCAGTCCTTGTTTCTCTTGTTTCTCTCAGACTTGTCAGAGACAAGATATATAAATGAGAAACAAATTATTGCAGTTTGCACATGATTTAACCTTACTTCTCCTCAACTCTATAATTCTTCATTTCCAAGGTGAATTGCTTTATTACTGGAAAGAAGAAAAAGGTACAACAAATAACCTCAGTGCCTTTTATTTAACAATAAATACACATATAGTAAGTCATCTGCCATATCCAATGATTTATACGAGTAATTAAAATTGATGAACTGTGCACTGTTAACCTAGACCTGTGCTTTCATTCTAATAGGTTTGTGGATATACTAAATGGCAGAACAAATCTCATAGATCCATATGGCTATAAAATTGGTATTGCTTAATCAATTAATCATCTGTCATAGCAAGTTGGACAACGTGCAGGCATTGGATCTACTTTGAGGCTTCAAGGAACCCTAACTAATGAATAACCCTTAAACTCGGTAAAAATTTCCTTTGATATTTATGCAAAGGGATTTGCTGATGTCATGCTCCCATGCTTGTGCAAAGCAAGGAAACTAAGCTTTGCATATTGCAATACATGTTAATTTGAGTTTAGATCCCTAGAAGTTAGGAGAAGTGGGAGGGTGAGGGAGATGAGATAAGAGTGGGATTTGCAAAGGGTATATGACCCTGTGATTTGGAGGTTATGTTAGCATGTGGGTTCAGAATGAGCAGAAGGTGATGAGTGAATAAATAGGGAGAGGGCAGTAGTGAGGGTGATATATATAAGCTGTATGCTGGAGAAGAGGGATAAAGGAAAGAGGGTAAAAGAGAGGACACTTTTGTCAGACTGTAAGGTAAAGAGAGCATGTTACATGGTGAAGATAGTAGGAATCAGTATTGGAAAGAAAAATCTGATTGGGTTTAAATGAAAAAATTCAAAAATTTTGAAAAAAAGTGTTTTTCTTATAAAATATTTATGCAAATAAATAGTATTTCATCATAAATCTTGGCCAAAATTTATTCTGTTATGTTTTTAGTAAAAAAAAACAATAACCTAAATTAGTTTATAACCAAAATTACAATTTTTAAACATTTTTTTTTACATTTTTTTTATTTTTTATATTTTTTTTATTTATTATTTTTTTTACATACTGTCACCCTAGCAGTACAGTGTCACCATTTTTTTTTCTTTTTACACTGATTGCTTTTACACCCATAAAGGATGTAAAAGCAATCATTTCTCCTTCTCTTTAGCTGCATTCTTGTAGCCATTGAGAACTACTGAGTGGGCTGTGATTGGTCACAGCTTGTCACATGGTACAAGTTGTGACCAATCACAGTATGTTGTAAGTTGTGAATAGTCTTGTACCATGTGACCTCTGTGATCATTCACAGATTTCACACGTAGTAAGCAATGATGTCGCAAGTGACATCTTGCTTACTACTTTGCATGTGATCACTGATTGGCCAATCAGTGATCACATGATCGGGACCTCGTATAGAAGTCCTGTCCGACGATCAGTGTTCCACAGCGGGCACCGGACCGTGGTGCTGCGCACTCACAGGGAGCGCGCACAAGCAGGGTGCGGGGAGGCCATTTATAAACGGCCACCCGACCCTGCACTGCCACCGTGTGGCCGTTTATATACAACGGCCGGACGGGAGGTGGTTAAGAAAACAAAATGGCAGTTGACTAGTGCAAATCTGCCTGAAAGTGGTTTGTAATTAATCCTATGCGGAGTATTTACTACACATAGGATTAATTACAATCCACTTTCAGGGAGCGGTTAAAAAAACATGAAATGGGTGCAGGGTCGAAGCCATTTATGGGTGGCATAATCGGCACCCACCGACTGTGGTTTGTAATTAATGGCTGTAAGTCACATGTGGATTAATTAACAATCACTTTCAGAAAAGACAAAATGGCAGGATTTCTGAAAGTGGTTTCGGGTGTTAATATTGCTAAATGTCAACTGTGGTTTTTAATTAATCCTATGCGGCATTTATGGGTTAAATCAAGCACAAGACCACTTTCAGGCAGATTTTGCTTGGCAGAGCATCAACTAGTTGAATGCAGCTAGGCTCGTTCGACTGCCATGGCTGTTTGTTTTTATCATTTTATGGGTTTATAATCCACACTCAAAAAGTGTAGTGAGACGGAGATATCACAAGGTCATTTTAAAGTATGATGGCAATTTTTTATTCTCTATATATTTATACCTTCTGGTCCTTGCTTGTTAAGCAGAGATCCCAAGCATTACATTTTATTCAATCCAGGCAATAGTCCTCAATAGGAGAGTTAACTAGCACAGATGACCCCTGTGGACTCGACTTCTGGAGTGTATTACAAATCAAGCATTTTCAAAACCCTCTGTCTTCACCAACATTTTTCTCACAATGGCTGACTCCATATTAACAACTCTGCCATAACTCAGGTCTCTTTAGACACTCCCTTTCTCCCTTTTTTCACACATCTCAGCTCCCAAATATTACCAACGTCCTTTACAATGAAACAATGCCAGAACATTTTGTAATTCTTGCTCAGATCCTTGACCTGTACTACATACCAAGATGACAGAACCAAATGACAGAACATGAGCAGTTCTTCTTATCCATTCATCTCTGAAAGCTGGTGGAGGTGTAACTCAGATCAGGGTACCAGAAGACATGTCTTGATCGGAGTTAGTGGAAAGGTGGAAAGAATAAGACTGGGATCAAAGTTTGGTCTAAATTTAAGTTACGACCAAATGCTGGCTGTTCAGACATTTGTCTGAAAGCTGAACATTTAGTGCGTTCAGCATAGACCAACATGACACCTCCCATTTTCAATGGTTGCTATGAAAACAGAGGCTGCTTGCACCCACTGAATCCTCACTGACATCATCTAGCCCATTTACTTACATGGCTGGGAATCCCATTGGGTGGGGAATGGAGCTGGTTACATCAATTGCCTAAATATGGGCACATTTGGACAACTAGGCAATGATCACTGTCTCCACCCCTTTCTTTATATAGCGGATAATAGTTTGGGAAGTTGTCATTCGGCTCTGTGTGTGTGATGGGTCGCGTTTTTTTTTTTCTTGAGAATAGTCGGCAGTAAGCAAGTGATGATGGATTTACAAGGGACTTTTTTTTGTAATTTTTAATAAAGAACTTGTCAAAATTTTGGGTGCCTTGATTTTTAGGTGTCATTATTTTTTTTTGTGAATAAGTAGGGGTACTATGTACCTCATAATCATTCATATGGGGACTGCAGTATCTGGGGGCCCCTACCCTGCAGAAGGATTAAAGAGATAAGACATTTGTCTTCATTAACTTTGGGGACACGTTTCTTTGCCTGGCCTGGTATGGTTCAGGAGGGGGGAACACACAATTATCCATCCCCATTTTCTGGCCAGCCAGGCTGCATGCTTGGATTAAGGATCTGATACAGATTTTTAAGAGGACTTCATGCATTTTTTTTGCATGAAGTTTCCCTTAAAGTCTGTACCAGACCCAATGGATTTCATTGGGGAACTCATGCTTTATTTTTTTTTCTTTTTGCATGAGGTACCCACTAAATTCTATACCAGTCTTAAAGGCTCTGGTATGCACGGTATACATTTTTAGGGGGATGCCACGCAATTGTTTTTTCATTATTTCTGTAGGATGTGCTACAGCAAAAATAATAAACAAAAAGCACACAGACCCTTCTTCTACAGTATATAACAGCACCTTAGTGGTCTGCTATGTATTTTGGAGGACCATTGGGGTCTGTGTGCCAGCTGTTCATTACAAAAAAAAAAGAAGCAAGGAAGGAGATGTAATTTGCCAGGAAATTAAAAGTATTTTTTCTTTTGTAAATGTCAGTGTTAAAACAATGACTGCTCCCGGCTGCATGGAATTTTTTCAATATTTTTTGCATTGGTGCATTTTCCTTTTCTCTGTGCTATTTTTTGACACCTCCTTGCCTATTAGCCCAGAAAAAGGGAATTTTTAACTATACAAATTATGCTCTCATTGATATTAGTAGGGTTCTGATTTGGCCTCTTTGAAGCTCGATGAACCTGCTCGAACTGAACTCAGGGAAGTTTGGCTGATCAAAAAACTTTAACAAGTTTGACACTATGAGGGGGATTTACTAAAACTGGTGCACTCAGATCTGGTACAGCATAGTAACCAATCAGTTTCTAACTTCAGCTTGTTCAATTAATCTTTGACAATAAAATTTGGGATTTTCTTTCACTTTCACTTTCAATAATAATGGTAAACAGGACAAATAGAGAGGGAGAATCTCCTTAATGGGCACAGACAGCAATAAAAACTGGCAAGCATTCTAATCTATCTCTACTGTATCCAAAACTAAAAAAAAAAGTTTTGCCTTTAGCTAAACTTTAGGTTTGCAGTGCCTGTGAAATTTATCATACTACTAGTAAAGAGTATTTCCCAAAATTTCACAGACTATTCACTTCTGAAAGACCTTTCTTTCTTCCTCTTCCTCCCAAACTCCTATGAAATCTTACTGTAGATCGATCCTTCATCACCTTTTTAGCACTGCTAAAGCTTTTATTCCATGGAAATGAAAGGACCCATCTCCCTTCTCTTTGATAGCTATGTGGCTAAGAAAGCAGAGGAGATCAGGAGGATGGAGGATCTCATCCTTTCCTCTCAGAAAACAAACATACATTTCTTACAAAACATGTTCTAATTGGATTGATTTGTTTTTGTCAGATGAGGGCAAGGTTCTAATGCATGCTAATTCATGAGCTCCCTCATTACAGGCTCAGAGGGACCCTCATCCTCCCCTACCCTACACCTCCAAACTCATTATACTCTCCAACTGGCTTTCCTCTTTCTCCCATATCACTTCCTTTTCTTATACCTTGTGATTTCCCTTCCCTGCACCCTTTTCAGTTCTTGTATTCTATGCCCTGCACCTGATAATTCCTATCCTCCATTTTCCTTTCCTTACTTGCCAAAACTACCCTGAGGTTATTGCATACCTCACAACTTTCTGAGATGGAAATGAGGGACACCTATAACCAAACTCCTGCCATGCCACTTACAAAGAAAATGAACCGCTTCCACGCAACCCTATAGCAGAAATACTACTACAGGGCCGCACAGGTGTGAAAAATATATACATGATTTTGCAGTTCTGGTACTTGGCTTCAGCTGTCAATCACCAGGTCTCAGACGGTGATGCCCTGCTGGCACCCAGTGATCTCCAAGTATTACCGATGGAGGAGAGACCTGTATGTAAACAATACAGATCTCTCCCATGTCAGCTCCTACACACTGCTTTGTATGGCTCTGCATAGTAGAGCCATACAGAGCAGTGTGCTTATAGTGTAAAGTACACCCAGCCCACATAGTAAAACAGCACACAGTTACCCTTTGATCTCCCCATATGTTAACCCCTTCCTGCCCAGTGCCATTAGTACAGTGTCAGTGCTTTTTATTAGGATTGATTACTGTATTGGTGTCACTGGGGATGTCAGTGACACCAAGTCAGTTCCCTCCAGTGCCAGAATGCACGCTGCAGTCCCGCTATAAGTCGCTGAATGACACCATTCTTAGTAAAAAAAAAATAAATTCCAGTACATATACACCGCCATTTGTATACGCTATAACTTTTAATTTACACATATTGGGATTTTTTTTTTTTTTGCAAAGACATGTAGCAGAATACATTTTGGCCTAAATTTATGCCAAAATTATTTATTTTTTTATTTTTTTACTGATCATGTTTAATAGCAAAAAGTAAAAAATATTTTTTTTCTCAAACTAGTCGGGTGTTTTTGTTTTTAGCGAAAAAAAAAAAAAATGCAGAAGTGATCAAATACCACCAAAAGAATGCTTGATTTGTGGGAAAAAAAAGATATAAAATTTCATTTCGGTGCAGAGTTGCATGACCTTACAATTGTCAACTAAAGTAACGCAGCGCCGTAGCGCAAAAAAAATGGCCTGGTCAGGAAAGGGGGTAAATCCTCAGGAGGGCAAATGGTTAATATGCAAAAAATGGCTGTTTTTTTTTTTTACCACTACTATTTCTTTATATTAGCCTTTGAAATGTGCAAATGCAACAATTTAGAAATTGGATGAAAGGTTTAGCACAGTAAAACACTTTTCGATATATAAATAATGCATGTTTAATGAAGATATATATATATATATATATATATATATATATATATATATACAGTATATATATATATATATATGTATATATATGGCCAAAATGAGGGATAAATGAGAAGGAAAGACGAACAGGGGGACTTTGTTTCAAATGAGGGACAGTCCCTTGAATTCAGGGACAGTTGGGAGCTATGGTTATTGTATTGTACCTGTAACTTCTACACTTAACGCATACAGTACATATCCATAGTATACTCCTCAGCTTCTGTTTACACATATTTGTTCTGGGCTGTCAATATATTGCCTAAAGCACAACACTTTAGTAAAAAATAATGCGCTAACAGAAAACAATGATGCTGTATGACTATTCAATGCAGAATAGTGTAATGCACTAGAATATTGTCTCATGTTTTATATCGTACATGACACTGAGCATTATGTATATAAGGATTTACAAAAACAAAGTGCTAGGATACTTGTGCAAGATTGATATATATGTAGGGATAGTAGTTAT